GCTCAAATTCATTTCCCCACTGTCTTTAATTTGGAGAACATGAACAGTATACACACACACACACACACACACACACACACACACACACACACACACACACACACACACACAATTTGTTCCCAGAATATAAGTGCCAGAATAGAAAAAGCAGATTAAGACCTTTTCTAATTAAGCATGAGGCATGAAGGGTATTTGCATAGTCCAGTTGAGTAATCTATTTTCAATTTTTTTTTTGGGGGGGGGGTCTGGTCATGGGGCCTGAACTCTGGGCCTGGGCGCTGTCCCTTAGCTCTTCAGCTCAAGGCTAGCGCTCTACCACTTGACCCACAGCACCACTTCCGACTTTTTTCTTTTTGTTTATGTGGTGCTAAGGAATCAAACCCAGGGCCTCTGGCATGCAAGGCAAGCGCTCTACCACTAAGCCACCTTCCCAGCCCCTATTTTCAATTTTGAAAGTGACTAAGACTTTGTCTCAAAAAAATTTTAGTACATAGGACAAAGTGACAATAAAAGAAACCATTATGTTATTATATAAATGTTACATTTTTCTTTCTCTCCTAGGCAGAAACCAAGTCATTCTTCCTCTATTTTAGTGCAATTATGAATAAAGTCAATACCGTAAAGTTCTGAAATGAATTAGTGATTACAAATGACCCTAATGTCCTCATAGATTAACATCATAAATTATTTCAAGAAAGTAGTTGTTTTTTTATCTTTTTCTGGCTGGAAGAAAAAATACATATAGAACAAATAAAATAAGAACTTCCCATAAGATTCAGAAATGATGCCCGAGAGGGTGTAAAAACATCCCACTGTGGCTCCAGGAAGTAGAGAAGATCCAGAGGGACAGTATAGTTGCACCAACGCAAAGGAGGCAGATGTGTCTTATGGTTACCTCTAAAAATAGCATATGGAAAAAAAGAGCAAGGGTGGAATCTCTGAGATGTAAGGGTGTAATTCATTCTAAACAAACATCTACAACCATTAGTTTTATTCTCATAAGAATAAGCCTGGAACATAATTGCTCAAAATTTCCAGGAAACTATGATGTTTAGCATATGCTTCTGCTATGTAGATAAATCAGAATTAGCTGTTCCAGAAAGTGACTAAAATAACTCTAAGGTAACTAGAAGGAAATAAAATATATCTTCAGTGTGTTTATAGTTAAGTGGGTAAATCTATAAACAGATGACTGATTAGTTAAGTTAAAAAAATGATGAAGAAAATACTTAACTGAGAAAATATTCATTTCAGGAAGAGTTTAATGGGTCTATGGTTTTTCGAACAAATGACTCTATCAGAAGACTAAGATAAATACACTGCTATCAGGTGGTAACCTGTTGAAAATAGTTTTACTATTGTAACTGAAATTGTATTTACATGAAGTAATATTTTCCTTTAGAGAAACATATTTACATTTTAGGGCTTTTGTCTTTTTCTAAAATATAGACCTGTAATTGGAACCCCACAAGTGACACTTAATGTGAAGGTGATCAATAAAGATATTTTCATAGACAAAAGATACATTCATAGACAAAGTTAGCCCCAAACTAAAATTTTGGTACATTTAAAATACAATAAAAATAAATTTGTTGTATAATTCTAAAACAGTGAAACAACCTTAAATACAAAATGCTGAAGTGAAGGATGACAGTCTGGAAAGGCTGTATGCTATGTGATTCCTACCATACAAATTGTGGAGAATGAGAAACTCTACAGAGTAAAAACCAATATTTAGGATTAGGGAGGGGTGGAAGAAAGGATTAATAGTTACATCATTGAGAATGTTAAGGCTATGGTATTATTCTGCATGAGCCTCTAATGGTAGAAAAATAATGGTATATATTCTTCAGATCTACATAATATACAACTGTGCATTTTAACACAGTATAAAACTGGTTTAGTAATAATGCATCCATATGTGTTTGCTAAATCTAACGTTTATTAATTTTACCAAAATATGGCATATTAATAGCTCCAATTAGTAGCAGCAATAGTAATTTTATTAATGTAATAATGGTAGCTTAATAGCAATGAAAATGCTACCAGAATGTTGTGATGGTTTATAAGCACATATGTCCTACAAATTAAAAAAATTAAATGGTAATGTTTAATTAAACAGAATGTTAATAAAGTTTAAAAATATTTTTAAACATGAGATGAAAACATAAACAAAAGATAAGAACAATGAAGTCTATCATAAAATCAACGAATCTCAGTATCTCTTTCTGATCCCCAGTACTGAAACTCTAGTTAATAGAATCACTGACAAATTTAGAAAAGTTCCTTAAATATTTAAAGCTGAAATGTTTGGGAATCTCAACATGAATCTTTTACAAAGGTTGATCTGGAGAAAAAGTGTATTTGTTCAAATAAGCAGTGAAGTTTAGAATTGAAATTAACTACTAATATTTTATAACAATTCATCTTGAGCTCATTCTGTGTTTTGCTTTTTTGGTTGGATTTGTTCTTCTTTACAATTAAAGAGTGTCTCTGAGGGTAAAATCTAAAAATTTCCTTCCTCATTATTGATTTTATTTGAAGTGAAATTAGAATACTGACTCCCACATTGAGCGTTAAAATATGAAAACTCTTAGATACTTCCCAAGCTTCACTGAATAGCCAGTGGTTATTTGTTTTAACAACCAAAACACTGCTTTCTGACTACATTCTTAACTTACAAATCAGCTTTTTAATCAGACATCATTGTTTCTATTTCTTAAGTAGTCAGAGATCCCAAGGTTCATTAAGGATATTATTCCAGTTTCTATTAGAAATAATACTATGTAATAGATCAATACAATTAGCTATCCTTCCCATTTAACAGACTAGAAAACAGATTCAGAGAGCTCCCTCCCTCCTAATTACATACAGTGATCTATTAATATAGCTAGGAATGAAATTAGTACTTCCTATTAATTGTGTATCTTCAAATCGATAATTACATCTATATACATACACAAATATAGACATATACATATATGCACACATGATTATATATTGTGTATATTCAGGACATAAGTTGTAAACATTTGGGCTCCTATATGCTGAATATGTATGTATTCAACATGTATGTTTCAGCAGCAAAGGGCAAAGTAAATGCCATGAAGTTCTCATTTAAAACTTTCTTTGAGATAAATTTTCTTTCCAGCACCGATTCCAGTAGTGAGTGGACCTGGGGAGCTTTACTGAGAACATGATGCTGAAGACCTCATCATTTGGATTAACTCACCTGTGGTTCAAATAATCAAGAACTGGGCTGGATTCAGTCTTTTACAAACTGCATCGTCTAGGTTAAATTACCTATCTTTAATTGTTTTAATTTGCCATCTATCAACAGTATGCTAAGTAATGTCTGTACATTTTTAGGGCTAAATTTTGGTTACATAAAACCATGTACTGAAGATGCATGGGGGTGGGGGGATGGAAAGACAGGACTAGAAATCCTTTCACGTTCTACCATGTTGTCTTTGTGTACTCATTCTCAGCACCATAAATACCATCAGTTCTCAGTATGCCACAATTCTTTATTCATTTCTTTGCTTAACATAGTTTTAAATATTCAAGAGATTTAAGTATTGCTCTTAAAATCACAGATTGAAAATATTATTTATCTTAGGTGTCAGGGTGGTCCTATAATGAGTGTGAACAATTTTAGCTTGGAAAGCAAAATATATCAAAATATTAACATTACTAGTAAAATTTTTCTCTCTTACATTGGATTGTTTTTTACATAAAAGTCATGTGATAAATTCATATACAAATAAATTATATATTTATGTATATGCATAAATATATAGTCTTATATGTGCCATATACTATCAATGTATATGAATAAAACATAAAATGTTTTACATAAAAAATGTTAATTATAGCTGGGCACCAATGGCTTGTGCCTATAACCTAGCTACTCAGGAGGCTGAAATTTGAGGATCGTGGTTTGAAGCCAGTCTAGGCAGGAATGTCCATGAGTCTCTGAGATGCAAGTAACTATCAGAATACCGGAAGTGGCATTGTGGCTCAAGTGGTAGAGTGATAGCACTCTGGGCCCAGGTGCAAAGTTCAAACCCTATGAATGAATAAGATAGATGGATAGATAGATAGATAGATAGATAGATAGATATGTTAATTACAAATATTTTTCAATAAAAACATGTTTTCTGAAATTTTTCAGTGAAGAAATCTTCAAAAACTGGAATAGAATATTTAAAAGTTGATTATAAACTTTGAAGTTAAAATATGAGAAATATTTAATAGCAGTGAAACTTAAGTTATTTTCTTCCATTGGTCTCATTTTTCTTTTTCTTTATTTCCCTTTTCTTTTTTCTGCCAGTCATGAGGCTTGAACACTGTTCTGGGCACTGTCCCTGCGCTCTTCAGTTCAAGGTGAGCACTCTACCACTTGAACCACAGTGCCACTTTCAGTTTTCTGGTGGTTAATTGGAGATAAGCATCTCACGGACTTTCCTGCCTGTGCTTGTTTTGAACCACTATCCTCAGATCTCAGCCTCCTGAGTAGCTAGTAATATAGGTGTGAGCCCCCAGCTCCTGGTTCACTCTTTTCATTTTTCTAATTAATTAAAATGAATTAAATATAGAAATAAATTTAAAATGAATTGATCTCATCTTTGAACAGGTATTTGCTACAGATATTAATTTTATTTTCAATGAAACATAATTGTAACATTAAAGTATCATCAAATCAAAATATTTCTTTTATGTATGAACTCATGCTGAAAGCTGATGATTGTCTTCTAAATGCTGAAACTTTACATATTTTTAGGAGAAATATTGAGGAAGAAGACATATTTATTACTTAATCACTGGAAAAACATTGATGACTTCTTCCTGTCACAGTCAACTTGAGGCCCTTTATCACACCTCACACACTATCCCTCAGCATTTGATAAGTGTATTCAGAGAATATCCAATTCCATGGACATACTATATGCTGCTATGCATGAAGGTCATGTCTTAGGGTAAACTGAACAGGAACTTACCCCATTTTTTGGGAAAGCAATCCATCCCAGGTCCCCCATGACAGTGCGTGAATCCAGTAAATTCACTGAAAGAGAAAACATACAACTGGTTAAAAGGCATAACAATGTTTCCCTATATAAATAGTGTTACTAAAAGTGCATACTTTTTACAAAAATCATATTAGCCTGTTCCTATAATTAAAATATAAAAGCTGTAATTTATAGAAACCATAACTGTGGTGAAAGATGACAAATTATTATTGTTACTATTATTATTATTAGATGGTGTTCAGATTTGAATTCAGTGTTTGACTTAGGCTAGACAGACATTACTGACTGAGCCACATCACCAGCAAAAGCAATCAATATTTAATAAACACTGGAATAACTTACAATAAAAATTCATAAGCAAGCCAAATTCAGGTAGCTTGTGCCTGTAATCCTAGCTACTTAGGAGGCTGAGATATGAGAAATCAGGTTGAAAGTTATCTCATGTTTGAAAGTCCCTGGGACTCTTTTCTCCCATTAATCACCAAAAATGTAGCTGTGGCTCACATGATAGAGTGCTAGCCTTGAGAGAAAAGCGCAGAGGCAGTGTACATGCCCTGAGTTCAAACCCCACAACTAGCACAAAAATAAATAAATAAATAAAAAGAAAACAAGTGGGGAAAAAAAGAGACACATAATAAGGAAGAGAAAAAAGAAAAAAAGACTTAACACTAGTTAGGCACTAGTGTTTCTCATCTATAGTCCAGCTACTCAGGAGACTTAGATCGATCTTTCACTGCTAGACAGGGAAGACAAATATAAGAAAGTTTTGTTTCTAGTTAACAAGCTAAAATCTGGAACTAGATGTGCAGCTCAAATACTAGAATGTGAGTCCTGAGCAAAAGTGCATACGAGATTTTAAGTTCAAACTCCTATACTAGTACACCCTAAGAAAGAAATAAAGCATAGATGATTGGATCGATATAGATAGATAGATAGATAGATAGATAGATAGATAGATCGATCGATCGATCGATCGATCGATCGATCGATAGATAGATAGATAGATAGATAGATAGACAGACAGACAGGTAAGTCAATAAAAAGCCTGCACAGCTTTGTGTAAAGAAACTGGATTTTGGGATTAAGCTACACCTATAAAATTGTAGCTAAACATTTTATTTTCTTCAAGAAAGCTGTTATGAAGCAATTAACAAATAATTTACATTGAACAGCAATAAACTATTCCCAAGCTTGTGAACTTTTTATGATGTTAACCAAAATCTGTAATACAAATTGTAAATTTAATTAAAAAATAAATCTACAAATTCGTAACCAAGACAAAGATATGGTAATTTACTGGGGGTTTGTTGTTATAATTAATATAGTCCACTGAATTTTCCCAAGACATGACCAGAATGAATTGTCAATTACATTATATTTTAAAATCCTTAGACCTTGGCAATGTCTAGGATAGAGATGAACATCATCACCATAAAAGAAAACTAAAAGGAGTATACACACACACACACACACACACACACACACACACACACACACACACACACACACACACACACACACACCCTGTGCTTACACACACTCCTGCAAAAATCAAAATAAATTAACGGGTACAATCTACTGGTGTGCTTTAGGTAATAGATGTGTTGGATAACTGAATCTTATCTTTAGAAACTTTTGTTTCTATCCCACATAGATGTTTCTGGACCCCTGACCCACTTTAAATAAGCATGGCATATACCTATAAGAAGGAGCCATATACCTATTCCTAGTGAGAGGGACAAAAGCTCTATAAACTGCAAGAGCATTTATTTGAAATGCAATTAAATTTAAGAGAAAAACTCTATCTGCAATTGTAATAACAGTTGATAGGCTGGGAACTATGCTGTCACACTTTGGAGAATAACATAAGTATAAAATGACTAAGATTGAAAAAGTCATGATCATCACTAAAACTAGAATTTCATATAGTTTATAAAATATAGGTACATATAACTTTTATTATCCTTCATTTTATTTCATAATGGTATAAAATGAGAAAAAGATACATTTGCAAATGCATTTTATTAACTAAGATAGAAATCTGTAATATTAGCAACATAAAAATAAATGTGAAGGGCTGGGAAGATGGCTCAGTGGTAGAGCGCTTGCCTTGCGTGCCTGAGGCCCTGGGTTCGATTCCCCAGCACCACATAAGCAAAAAGGAAAAAAAGCCGGAAGTGGCGCTGTGGCTCAAGTGGTAGAGCACTAGCCTTGAGCTGAAGAGCTGAGGGATAGCGTCCAGGCCCAGAGTTCAGGCCCACGACCGGACCCAAAAACAAAACAAAACAAAAAATAAATAAATGTGAAGCAAATACAGATGTATGCTAATTATCACATATACTTGATGTTGTTGTACTCTTTTTTACCACTATGTATAAAAAATGCGTGCCCTATAATGTTTCTATGACTTTCTGGGCTACTCACATCATATTGGCTTTATGGAGTAATAAAATCATTTGCGGAACTGTTCAACAATTAATCAGAGGGGCTGGGAAGGTGTCTCAGTGGTAGAGTGCTTGCCTTGTATGCATGAGGCCCTGGGTTTGATTCCTCAGTACCAGATAAGCAGAAAAGGCCAGAGGTGGCCCGTGGCTCAAGTGGTAGAGCGCTAGCCTTGAGCTGAAGAGCTGAGGGACAGAGCCCAGGCCTAGAGTTCAGGCCCCACGACTGACAAAATAAATACATAAATACACAAATAAAATTAATAGAATTAGAAACTACTATTTAAAACAACAATAAAAGCGAAATGCCTAAAACTGTTTTAACCCACTTATTATGGAAATCTGGATTTCCAGTAATGCCATTCCTTCTGATTTTCAGTCAGATTTACACTTAGGTTTTTAACTCTATTGTTAGCTTTTCTAGTTTCCATGGGGATAAGGCTACATTAAATATAAATGTCCTTGTCCTCCTTTTAGTATTTCTGGGGCAGGAGGGCTCTGTCTAGACAAGACTAAATAGCAAGGGAGTGCAAACTTAAATTGTTATGTTTATTCAGTTTAATGATTCATGAGATGAATCTTTGATATTGAGTAGCAATATCTCTGTAGATGAGATGAAGTAGAACAAATTAGCAAACTAAGGGTGTTACTGAGACAGCAAACAAATAGAACTAAATCCTGAAGTAGCAAACTGATGCACATTAAAATTTTAGGGAAATTTGTAAAGAGCCTGCCAGGAAAAACAGCATTCCTTGTTGGCCTCTTAATATGTTGATTTGAAGTATTCACTTTTACCAATAGAATTCGAAATCTCTTTTCAAAATATGGTTGTCTTCCCTTTAATAAGCCTTAATTTAAGTTTTCCCTCACAACAGATGGAATTAAATAGATGACCTCAAAATATTGGCTTAGCTATTAGTATCATTACTAGAAGGCTTTAATATTGAATTATATTACAAAGTATAAAAATAGATGTAATAATAATCTATAAAATTTCACTTACATGGGAGTCAACATGCTTCGCTAGGATAGATGAAGAAGTTTATAGAAATTATATGTAATTTCCCACTATTGCTCAAATTCATTTCCATCCTAAGATTTCAGTAAGTTCACCGTGCAAAGAAAATATGTACATATGCCATTCCTGAATTTGCAGTAAAGAGTAAAATTAATCATTCAAATTATTTTCAGATTACTAAATTATAATTTTGTCCTTTCAAAGCAGAATAAATGTTTAGACTTGAAACAAGTTCTCCAATGTCTCAAAAGATATACTAAAAGTTTACACACATGCACATGCCCACACACACACACACACACACACACACTTCGCTAATAAGGTTTGAATTCAAGGCCTTAGAGCTGTTCTTTAGCTGTTTTGCTCAAGGCTAGTATTCTACCATTTTGAGCCACAGCTACAGTTTCTGTTTGGGGGTAGTCAATTGGAGATAAAAGTTTCTGGGACTTTCTTGCCCAGGCTGGCTTGGAACTGCCGTCCTCAGGTCTCAGCCTCCTAAGTAGCTACAATGCCAGGCATGAGACAACAGCACCTAGTTATAAATTTAAAATATCTGAAAATCTTTCTTCTACTTATCTAAAACAACAAGAACAAAAACAAGGAAAGTAAAATTGTTCTGTTTCCCAGGGCTTATGTGTCCATAAGCAGCTTTCTTCCTTTCTGAATTTCTCCTCTTCACAAGCCTGTTTTTCAGGAGCTACCATATTTAGGAAGTCATCAGTGATTCTCCCTTCTCTAAGGTCAACTGAGTACTTACTCCTAAATATTTTATTAGCACCCAAATTTTAGCTCTAAACCATTAACTTTATCATTGTCTTTAAAGAATACCCCAAGTTACTCATTCTCATGAACCTACTCAGAGTATTAACATCTAAGTAACTTTTGGAAAAACAATTATCTAGTCAGTGGGCAGACTGAAATTGCCAGTGGGTTTCAACACCAGTGGGTTTCAACAAGGACATTTGATAGAACCTGGCAATGTTCTTTATTGTAAAAAGTCTTGGAAGGAGAGTAAGGGAGATATTTTCAACTAATAATTAGTGGGGGAAAGAAAAGCCAAACTGTAGACTAAGCATTCTGCAATGCACAAAATAAAAGGTGTTTAAGAAGTAATTAGTGCCAAAAATGAAGAACCCTGTCGATGCATAAACCAATAAATGTACCTGAATGTCTGAATTTTCACGTTTCTTTGTGTGGCACATCATTACTACTGTCTTTTTAATAGGAATGCATATATTTGGAAGTGATCCTTGTAGAAGAAAATAATACATTCATTTCAGGAAATAAAAATAATAAAATCATCTTGGATTGGAGAGAAAAGCAGAGACTTCTAACCACATATTTTCCCTAAATTATTGTTCACAAAATGAGTGTAATTATTACTAAATATTAATAGATGTTCACATTTATGTTTTAATAATTTCTCAGTATTCATGATGGCATTATTTCTTCAAAGTTATTAATGAAAAAATACAAAAGAGTAGCTTTGTAAAAGGAAAAAAAGAATACACAGGGTCCATATAAATGTGAATTTTTCAGAAGTTCATTTCCCAGTTTTATTACCAAATTTGTTTAA